AAAACTATACACTAAAAACAAAGTATTACCACTGAATGGCTTTGTGGATTGTCCTGGGAGAAGTGGATTCTCGCATTGACATTGGCTATGATCAAAATCACATTTGTATTCATTAACTAATTCTTTATCATCATCACTCAAGGAATTTGGAAAGTTTGAGGGTTCGAAAGAATATTCAAAACAATCTAATTTATTCACATGCCGAGTTCTTTGTGCCTGATAACTATGTCTAGGGGAACACTGATCTTCTTTAAATATTTTATGAACCTTTTGACTATTTGCATCAGGTAGCAAGTCTTGATTGTGGAGCCAGACTGGGTATTTGAAATCAGGTATACTAGTTATCCCTGAAACGTTAAGGTCAGATTTCTGGCTAGTGAGCCATCTTGGATAATTCTTTCCATGACTGTGTTCTGAATTGTCCTTGAAAGATGATTTCTTCGGAAAAGATAAAGATGACTCAGAAACACATTTATTAGTCCTATTCATATGTTTTGGGTTTTTTAGCCTACCACATTGCTTTCCATTTATATTTGTGGATACAGCAGGAGTAACTAAGTTATCCTTGCCCATGGGAATGGAAGGTTCTTGAAAATTTGAATTCTTTTCAATGTCCAATGAACCCAGTCTTCCAATGCATTTCTTTTTTTTCTTGCTCATTTGGTGACCTGGTCCAATATAAGTGAAAGAAAATGATCCATCTGCTGGAAGTTTTAATAGATCATCAGTTGTTAGGCTAATGGAGTCTATGTCATTAATAGTCTGTCTTCTACAGAATAAGGAGTTTGAGTGCTTTTTGTGATCAGGATTTTCAAAAGCTGAAAAACAAAGCATAGGTCTGTTTACCTTCCTTTATCACATATACTTTACAACAGCCAATAGTAAAGGGAAATGAGAATTAAACAATCATTTTTACTGTTTTTCCCTTGTCCTCACAAAAGCTTTGATTAAAAGTATAGAAAGTTTAGGTTGATAAAATAGGATGTGCTTTCTCACATTTCTTCAATCTATTTTACTTAATTTCTACATGTTTCTCTCCAACCTCCTGAATTTTTCCATGTTCTCTAGTTTACTGTTTCTTCAATTTTTTTCATCTAGACATACCTGATACACTAATATATATAATCACAGTAATATTGGTCACTCAATACTGGCTGCAGCATAGAAAAAAATGCTATTAAACTATGTGGAAAAATAATTTGCTTTCTCATGGTTACATACAGAGAATAACCGTTCTAATTCTCCTCTTCTGGCATATATTGCCCACATCCCTCTAAGAGTTGAGTACAAACTTTTTCCATTCTAAGCCCATTCTGTAAGTGCTCAGTAAAATGCTAACTGGCTTATCAACAAATGCATTTTCCAGACTTGTCTTCAAGGAAATCTTACTAAGGACAAACTTTTAACATCTCGTGAGTAATATTGTCCCACAGAATACAGATCAGAAAGACCAGTATAGTCCTACCGCATCAGTTGGAATTGAGCAAGTATAAATTCAAAAAGGTTGAGATCTGCTTAAAGTAATTAAGCTAGTTAATGAAAGCTAGAACCACCACGCCAATGTTCTTTCCATTAGGCTACAGTAAAATGCCTTAAGCGTTAAGATCAGCCACCTGTTACAAGTTATATAAATCAGCTTCCCCTCCAAAGTTAAAAGAGCATCCTAGCTGAAAATTCCTGGGAACTAGAGAATTACACATCATTTTACAAAAATATCCAGATCTCAGTATTATAAAAGTTACTTTTACTCCAAAATAACAAAAAATGTCATGCTTTGCGAGGCTATAGTACATCTCTCAAATGCTTCAAAACATTTTAAAATAAAGAAAACATAAAGAATAAAAGCATACCATTGTTTGGTTTATAAATATCGTTGGAGAAATGTGGCATATCAGTAGAGTCCTCATCAATGTTAATTTTTCTAGTGCCTGCACCAGGATATATTTGGCTTAGGTCAAAATCGTCAATGTAGGCCTGTAAAGCCTGAGAAGCAGATCTATACAGTTTATTCCTAAAGTGAAAAGAGCCATCAGAGGTAGAGGAATTACTACCACTCAGGCTGCAGCTTGCTAGCAGAGAAGATACTGAAGATTCCCGAGAACAAACTCTGTGTTTTGTGTTTGATTTGGCCATGGCTTCCTCAAAGTGGGTTATTTCCATTCATTTCCCTTAAAAACAACTGTAATACAAAAAAAAAAAAAGAGGAAAATGTCAATTAAACAGAATAGTGATCATATGTATAAAAAATTACCACATATGTAAACTTTCAATAATTTTCTTTAAAGAATAAAATCCATTATCTATAATAGACACTCCTTTGTAGGCATTATAGATTTTCTATTATTTTTATTACTATGAATTCTTTCATCAGTGATTTAGAAAACATTTATTAAGTCCTTACTATGTGCCTGGAAGTATGTATGCAAAAATTATCTGAGAACATACATGGAAAATACCAAGGAAAGAGTACTCACTTTTTCGGTCCTAAAAACTAATTGTGAATAGTCTTTTTTCTTATAGTAACACATTCTATGACATCACAATATCTAAAATTCCCCAATATATAATATTTTTCAAATCATAAGCCTACCAACATGTACTACAGATAGTACATGCTCAATAAATTGAGCTCAATAAATTTTTTAAAGCCATCGAATGAAGTACTCAAAACAGGAAGGAACAATGGAGAATATCCACTTTCAATGTTGTAAATGTCATTATTTAACTTTAGCCAAACCTTTCCACCCAAAAAGACGCGAGAGAACAAAATAATTTATAATATTTATCTGTAAAGAAATAAACTACAATCTTATGATAGAATGAGCTAGCAATATAACCTTTTCCTAAAATAAAATTTTTAATCATTTCCTGACCTTCATTTTCGGTACTACTCTCACGAGTTTGAATTCTTATGTTAAACAGATTTGGCTCACCTCTTTTAAAAGCTTAAATAATCTGGAAATCAACTTAATGTAGTCATCTTACTGTTTTCCCATTATTAAAACCGAGAGAATTCTTACCTACTTTAGTACAGCAATAATAGTATCTATATTTGAAAACCTAAAAAAATAACAACGAACAGGAACTAAGTACATGATACGACATTCTTTTAAAATTAGGTCAGTGGATTTTCTGTACTACAAACAAAAGATTAGAGTCTAGGACTTACATGACATTGATGTAAAATTTTTTTCCTTTTTTTTTTTTGTTAAGACAGCATCTCACTGGGTCATTCAGGCTGGAATGTAGTAGAGCGACCATAGCTCACTACAGTCCCAAACTCCTAGGCTCAAGGGATACTCCCACCTCAGCCTCTTCAATAGCTGGAACTACAAATGTGTTCCACCATACCTGGTGGCTGATTTTTCTTTTCTTAAGAGACCAGCTTTTTACTATGTTGCCCAGGCTGGTCTCAAGCTCCTGGCCACAAGGGATCCTCCTGCCTCAGCCTCCACAGCACCAGCCTTATACTGTAAATTTAATGTTTAATTTTGGGCTATTAATAAAATTTTAGAAAAATTTTAGTTGTAACAACTTTCAATGTAACTGTCAAATATTACTTTATAATATTGAAAGTTTTGTAGTCAGAGACAAAGCAAAATTTCATCCTGTCAAAGCCTTAGAGCACGCAATATAGCCTTTACAAGAGATCTGACAATGGTAGTGAAAGCAGCAGCAGAATATAAAATAATGATTAACTAGCCTCTTCGATTTCCCTGAATGCTGTGATATTGGCATATCTCTAAAAAATGGCTAAACTAAGTTAGCTTCATCCGTTCTTTATCCCTTTTATTTAAAGGATTTTTAATTCACTCAAGTAAATTTGCTTGGATAAGTTTGACAGAATGTTTGCTCCCATATTTGAACGCAGCACGTTACCGATTTTATTTTACAAAACCTTAAAAACAAAAACAAAACCTTAAAAGAGAAAGCTGTTGGATTATTATTCTCAGTAAGTGGGTGATAATATTTATTATTTTAATTCACAAGACTGACCAAAAAAAAAAATCCCAACAATTTAACATTATGGAAAGTTTCCAAACGTATGCAAAACTAGAGGTTTAATAAACCTCTATGCACCCACCATCCTGCTTCCTGCAATTACCAACATACCCCAATTTCTTATCCATACCTCCACCCTCTTCTCCCCACTTCAGCCATAGGATTACTTTGAATCCCATTATCTTAAGCAAATCCCATATATCTCACCATTTCCTCCATAAACTCTTCAGTTCCAATCTTCAAAAGAAAATTCATCATGCCAAAGAATAGAATGTTAAAACTTCTTGACAAGAAATTTCAACTACCTTTGATTTAAAAACAGAATGTTGAGTGTTAAATACCCAATGGAAATACCGCACAGAAAATTAAGAACAACCCTTGGAAGTCACAGCTCTGTAACCGCTATTAATAAGTCATGAATTCGAACGTTTGTTTACTCTGCAGCAGAAAAAGGAGAATCCTTGGACCTGGAAAGCGAAGACTGCGGCCGCCCGCCAACCACGCGACTTTCCCCCGTCCCGAGCGCGCCGGGTTCAAACCGTTCTGCCCCTATTTAGGCAACATCCTGCCTTCGCGGTTCCACTGCCCGCGTCCGTCACAGACACAGACACAGACACAGTCTTCAATGAGTTGCTTTTCACTCTGAAACCGTTTATTCAGCAGCCGGAGGGAGCGCCGCGGTGGGCGGACGGGGTTTTCCGAGGTGCCCGCCCCCGGAGCGCGACCCTCTTCCCGTCACCGCCTCAAGTCCCCCGAGGTCCAGGTCAGGTCCCGCCGACCCGGGGGCACTCCCCCTAAAGTGTTCTTTCCACAGAGACTCCACACGCGCCCTCCCTCAGGAGACGTCTTCCTCTTCCCTCGTCGCCACCCTTCCTTTAGCCTTTTTCTCGGGCTGCCAAGGGATGGGACGTCCCTCGAAAATACACCCTTCCTATCCGGCCTAACACACCCACTAAGGCCCAAAAAGAGATTAAAAACGCACACTTCCACAACTCTCCGCCGAGAGCCAAGGCCTATTACCGGACTGGAGACGCGACAAAGCATCCCTAACCCGGACACCGCCCGGCCTCAGGCTCCACTCGCTCGCAGCCGCCTCCGCCGTCACAGCGCAGCGCCACACCCGCGCTCGCTTTCAAACCGACCCAACATGGCGCCGGCCCGCCGTGCGCATGCGTGTCGCCCGGCGTTAGTCTGGTGAGCCGAGGCTGGGGAGCCGGCAGGGGGAAGAGGGCGCTGCGGGGCGTCGGGTCGCCGCCCCCTGCTGGGAGGTGTGGTTTCTCCTTCTCTTTCTGGGGCTGGGAGGGGGTGGCTCTGGACCTCATCTACGTCGCTGCCCCCCACGCCCTCCCCGCCTCCGTCACTGCCATTGTCTGTCAGTCTACTCGTCAACTGGCTGTTCTCCCTTTGGCCGGCCCCCGGGGCTGTGGGAGGGGACCGGGTGGGGAAAGAGACTTGGGGGTGCTGGCCGTTGTCGCTTCTGTCGCTGAGAGCCAGCCCCACAGCACCGGTCCTTCCAAGTGGGTTCGGCCTCCCCGCTTTCAGAACATCTCCCAAGATAAGACATCATCTCAGCCAGGGGGCAGCTGCCCCCACCGCTTCCTTCCCTCCCTCCTCAGTGCCTTCCCCATCCCAGCCTGGAGCCCGGCCCTGCTAGGATTCCAGCTAGCCCCTCAGACACAAGGCAGATGCGTGATTGGAGAACGGAGTTTGGCCAGGGATGGGATTTAATAAACTCCTTGGGGACCTTAATTCCCAGGGAAGAATGGCAGTGACCCCGCACGGATTGGGGACCCAGTCAGGCAGCCCAGAAAGAGGGAGATTATACAGACAGATGTAAAGACCCACTAACAACATGTGTGAACCTGTCTACAAGGCTGGAACAGGATACAAGGTGCGAAGAATTCAGTTTCTACCAAGCGGTGTATCAAAATAAGATGCCATCTCAATATTGGTTTATGTTTACTTTCCACTGACCTTATGGGTGAAGACATTCTTGACCATTACTCCATCTGAATATGTTCCAACTCATCTGATGTCACATCACCAGGTAATACTACTGTAGTCTTGCTGTTTGCTCTTCCTTCTTTTCATCCTCTCCAGCTTACTAAACTTGACCTTCCCGTTTCTCTTGCAAATGAAAAAGTCCAGAAGCTATAAAATTCAATTTAGTGGTTCAAACACATGTTGATTGTGTAAGAGTCAGTGATTTGAAAATAAGACACAGTCCCTGCATGAGTTTACAACTAATAGTATGTTCCAGTAATCAGCAAAATTTCTAGATCAGTCAAAATCGAGTAGGTTGCTGATAGGAAGTCAAGAACTGTGTTTTATATGCTAGAGCAAGCCCAGGTCAGGGACCAGCCCAGGATTGTTAATGGCATGAGCTTCAAAGTTAGATTTTTTTAATCCACATTCCACCTAAATATCTTTTTAACTTAGCCTTCTTTAAAATAATTTCTTAAAGATTCTTTCCATAAACAGTACCTTTTAAAGTTTCTTGTACTACCTTTTTCTTCCATCTTGGGGCATATATAATAAATGTTTCCTAATTGAGACATAAAGTATAAATAAAGGACACTGAGAAGATAGAAAATAAATTATCAAATTCAGTTATTCAAGTTATCAGATTACCTAATTCCTGGATCAAAATAATTCTACTTATGCTTTGTTTCTTCACAGGTTAAGAGATATGGAGATTTCCAAGAGGATTTGGAGAGGAGTCCCAATAGTTATTAAAATTCCGAACTACATCTGTTAGGAAAGGTAAAGAAACCAGGACTCTACTAGGAAAGAGAAGGTTGTAATGGTTTACTAAAGTTTTTCAAATATAGAAGCTAGAAACTAGCTGTTATACCTTGCTGGGAGAACTAAACAAGAGAAAATAGATTTATGATCCAACTTAAAGAGTTTTAGGTGAGAGCTAAGGAAGAAATATTCTGATAATTAAACTTTAAGAAGGTTTATTGAGGTGGTTAAGGAGGCAGGTCTTCGGAGAGTTTAAATGATGGACTTAAATGTGTCTGTTTTAAGAAAAGAGGCTGACCTTTTTGATCACCTAGAACAGGGCCCCACATTGTTTCAAGCACTTTTACATATATTAACTTAATTAATCCTTATCACAACTCCATGAGATAGGTGTTATTATCCCCATTTTATCGATGTGGTAATTGAAGTTCAAAGTTTAAGCGATTTACCCAAAATAACATGGCTAGCGGTGAGTGGCAAAGTCAGGATTTGAATCTAGCTCTTTTTTCACCTTTACACCATACCTGCCAACTTTCTCTAACTGAAAACTGGATGATGGACCAAAGGACCAATGAGACAGAGCTTCCTGAATTCATTCACAGCAAAAAGCGTATCTTACTCAACTGTCTTTGCTACACCTACCACAGTACCTGTCTCAGTCCCTTCAGGCTGCTGTAACCAAGTACTGTTGACTTTATGGCTTATAAACAGTAGAAATTTCTTTTTTACAGTTCTGGAGGCTGGAAGTCTGAGCTGAGAGTGCCAGCATTGTTGGGTTCTAGTGAGGGCCCTAGTCCAGTCGCAGACTGTCAACTTCTGGCAGTGTCCTTATATGGCAGAAGAGATGAATGAGCTTTCTGGGGTCTCTTTTATAAGGGCACTAATCCCATTCAAGAAGGCTTAGTCCTCATGATCTAATCACCTTCTAAATGCCCCACTTAATATCAGCACCTTGGGAGTTAGGGTTTCACCATATGAATTTCAGGGGCACCTAAACATTCAGTCCATTGCAGTATCTAACTTTGAGTAGGGCTTCAATAAATGTGTTTAAATTGAATTAATTTAAACTTGATCCTCTCTGAGGAGGTAACATTTAAACAAAGACACCAATGAAGCAGAGTCAGTCACGTGAACCTATTGGGGAATAATGTTCCAAGCAGTGGGAATGGCATGTAGAAAGACCCTGAGGTAGGAAGTTGCTGGTTGTATTTGAGGAACCTCCAGGATATCAATATTATTGCAGCTAAATGGATGAGAAGAAGACTAGTAGGAGGTGTATTGGAAGGGAAGCCAGGGGTCAGATTGTGTAGTGGCACTGCCACTCACTTTAAAAAGAATGCATGATCAATACATTGTGATGCCTTGTAAGAGAAAGGAAGCATGATTAAGCTGTTAGAAATAGTCATGATTTATTGAATGACTATTGTGTGCAAGGCACTGGACATTTAAGTACATTATCTTATTTAATCCTCACACTAATTCTACAAGGTAGATATCATTCCATCCCATTTTACACTTTGAGGAAAATGGAAAAACACAAATATTAAGTAACATGCTTCACACAATTAATAAGTGCCAAAGACAGGATTTGACCCAGGTTTTTGATTCCAAAGTCTGCCTTTTTCCACTATACGATTTAGGTTATTAAGTATGAAATGTCTGATTTCCTTAAATACTAAGTTTGGCAGTTGATACCTCTGACCTTTCACTTTGACACTTCTTGTTTTATGTTTATTGTGAAGGTACATCCTCAGTCTTTCAAACACACATTTTGGCTTGTGATTATCTTTTGTGCTCTAAATTTTTTTAGAGCAATTTTTGTGAAACCATCGATAAGTAAAAAATTCATGTTATTTTCTAATATGAATTATATCATGGAACCAATGCAGTGCAGACAGCTAGAAATATCAACGAAGTGTTTGGAAAGGATGTGGCTTATGAATGCACAGTAAGTCAATGGTTTGAGAAGTTCCATTCTGGTGATTTTAGTCTTAAAAATGAGCCATGTGGGCAACCTGAGACCAAGGTGGATAATGATGAGCTGAACACTGTAGTGGAAGCACATTTATGTCAATCTATGCGTGAATTATAATAGGAGCAAAGTTTGACATTACAATTCCAACAATATTGGACCATTTGAAACAAATTGGCAAGGTAAAGGTGGATGGATGGGTTCCACATGAGTTAACACATTGACTGACACAGAAAAAAATCAGAAACATTTCCTTGGGGCCACAGTGTTTTATTACGAAAATACAATAAAAATTTCAAGTGTAATTTAAAGGTAAACATAAATAGAAAAACAAAATTTATTGACTTCTATTCATTTAATCTACATTTTTAGAATTAAATTGTCAGTATTAACTGTAACAATAAGAACATCAATAAGTAAGATTTTATATATGCTTCACACGGCCCCTGGGTCAAAACTAGAGTGAGTTAAATACAACTCTCATGGCAGTTAATGTTAAAAGAGCATCAAAAGAGAAATTGTCTCAAAGTTTGCCTTTCTTTGCTGTCATGACATAAAAACAAACTATTTCTACACCATATTGTTACTTGTGATGAAAAATGGATTCTTTTTGACAATCGCAAGCTTTCAGCACAATGGTTGGCTAAAGATGAGGTGCCAAAACACAGTTCAAAACCGAATTTCGTCCAAAAAAGCTACTGATATCTGTGTGGTGAACCAGCGCTGGTATTATCCACTACAACTTCATGAAACCTGGTCAATGGATTACAGCAGAGGTCTACTGCAACCAATTGGATGAAATGATGAGGATGCTTGTGATTAAGCAGCCAAGAGTGGTCACTAGAGACAGGCCAATCCTCTTGCAAGACAAATGCTCGACCACATGTTGCACAATGCTGCTCAAACTACAGAAGCTGGACTTCGAAACTCTCTGTCATCCACCGTATTCATCATACCTCGCACCAACTGACTACCACTTTTTACAGGCTTTGGACCACTTTTTTTTTTTTTTTTTGAGACAGCGTCTCACTCTCTTGCCTGGGGCGAGTGCTGTGGCATCAGCCTAGCTCACAGCAACCTCAAACTCCTGGGCTCAAGCGATCTTCCTGCCTCAGCCTCCCAGGTAGCTGGGACTACAGGCACCCGCCACCATGCCCAGCTAATTTTTTTTTTCTATTTTTAGTTGTTTGGCCAATTTCTTTCTATTTTTTTAGTAGAGACGGGGTCTCGCTCTTGCTCAGGCTGGTCTCGAACTCCTGAGCTCAGAACGATCCGCCCGCCTCGGCCTCCCACAGTGCTAGGATTACAGGCGTGAGCCACCGCGCCTGGCCTGGACCACTTCTTGCAAGGAAAAATATTCCATTCTCAACAAGCTGTGAAAAATGTCTTTTGGGATTTCATCACCACTCTCTGGGCTTCTTGGCTGCTGGCATAAACAAGCTACCATTAAGGTGGCAAAACTGTGTTGATAGTTTAGGCACATGCTTTGAATAATTGTACTGCTTCTTGTTTAAGATATGACAAACTACACTTTTGATTCAAAATCGGGCATTTCATATTTAATTACCTAATATAGTTTCTCATTTGAAAGACTTTAAGTAAGAAGAAAGGGGTTCATGCATGCATGCATTTAACAAGTAATTATTGTTCATTGCTATGTGACAGGCAGTGTAGAAAAAGTATTAAAATGTAATCTAGCATTTTAAAAGTTTTTATATGATTACATTCTTACCAATCATCTGTTTTTAAATCTTTGCAGATAGATGGACTATAAGGCAATTGCCCAAGAAACTGCTCAAGAAGTTTTAGGTTACAGTCAAGATACATCGGGCTGGAAAGTGGTTAAGATTTCAGTAAGAAAACAAGTCAAATATATTTTAAGAAGTTTTTTTTTTATTAATGAGAAACAATTCATTGTAAAATTTTTTACAAAATATTTTCTTTGCTGGGCACACTGGTGCACACCTATAGTTCCATCTATTTGGAAATCTGAGGCAGGAGGATGGCTTGAGCCCAGGAGCTCAGGGCTGTAGT